TCATTTTGTATACCACTGTCTTCTGACGTTTGGTGTAGAGCTTAGATAGAGTTATTACCTTAGCACCAGGTCCGGATCTACGAAGTTCAGACTCCTCCAGGTGGGTGTTGCTTGGATCTGGCTGCTGTGCTCCACTTCTTTCTGCTGCAGCCCTTAGAGTTGAACCCTTTGTGTCTCTCTGGCAAGATGTTCTGCTCCTGAATCAGTTGGGTGGGTCTTGCCACTAGCTTCTTTGCAGGGAGTTCTGCTGAAGGGTTCCGTGCTGGGCCTGCAGCCTGGGTCAAATGAGGATCCCCGGGCCCTGGGTCGTCTCACTCACTCATGGGGCCTGCTCTCTGGGCCTATTCATGATCCGGAGGGGTGCCCAGCTTCTTTTGGCTACAGTAGAGATGATGATTTTTCTTTTCTGCCTATGTATCTATCTTGATTAGTATGTGTTCCTACCTCACAGCAGGTGGCAATACCTTGACCTTTTGCGTGTTGTCAGTCCTGAGGACCTCTTCCATTCTTGTCAAGGGGAGTGCTAACCTTCTCACCTTTCATACAACACAGTATGTGTTTATGGTACCTGATGAATACTTTGATGGTGGGGGGTGGTACATACGCATATTACATATTCATAACTTTTATTCCCTCTTCCTCCTAGTTCCTTCCCTTCTTCCTTCCCACTTGGATCCTCTTCCCATCTCTCAAAGATCTACCTTACTGTTTCCTTTCATCTGTCTTTTATTTTGCTCTTTAAAAATCCTTGTATTTTGAGTTTCCCACGTAAGGGAAACTCTGTGGTGTTTAGCCTTCTTTGTCTGACTCATTTCATTTACCCTTAGGGTCTCGTAGTACATCCATTTTCCTACAAATGACTTGAGTTTATCCTTCTTGATGGCTGGGTAGTACGCCATTGTGTATATAAGCCATACTTTTTTTTTTTTAAATCCATTGATGTGGTGATATTTTGAGAATAAGTGGAACAATGGTAGGATAGGGCTCTGAGAGTTAAATACTACATTTTGGAACAGATTGTCTTGTTCCCAGAAAAGCAGTATGTCTCCTGCTTGATTCTATTTTTTTTTATTTTATTTTAATTTTTCTATTGGATTTAGGGTCCTACTACACAATTCAGACTCATAGTAATCCTCCTGCCTCAGCTTCCTCAGCTCTGGGATTACAGGCTTGCACCACCATGCTTGGTTTCAAGGCTGGCACAGTGCACCCAGGATTCTGGGGCTTGCGTAATATGCAGTACTGGGGATCAAATTCAGGTCTTTGCGTTTGCCAGGGAGGTGAGCTATCCCCCCAGCCTCTCCTGCTTGATTCTAATAGTTCCACAGCTCCCCCATTTATTTATTTATTTATTTATTTATTTATTTATTTA